TGTAGACCTACACAAGGCTGGCATGGGCTACAAGACCATTGCCAAGCAGCTTGGTGAGAAGGTGACAACAGTTGGTGCAATTATTCACAAATGGAAGAAACACAAAAGAACTGTCAATCTCCCTCGGCCTGGGGCTCCATGCAAGATTTCACCTCGTGGAGTTGCAATGGTAATACACTACGCCGTGAAGGACTGAAATCCTGCAGCGCCCGCAAGGTCCCCCTGCTCAAGAAAGCACATATACATGCCCGTCTGAAGTTTGCCAATGAACATCTGAATGATTCAGAGGACAACTGGGTGAAAGTGTTGTGGTCAGATGAGACCAAAATGGAGCTCTTTGGCATCAACTCAACTCACCGTGTTTGGAGGAGGAATGCTGCCTATGACCCCAAGAACACCATCCCCACCGTCAAACATGGAGGTGGAAACATTATGCTTTGGGGGTGTTTTTCTGCGAATGGGACAGGACAACTTCACCACATCAAAGGGACGATGGACGGGACCATGTACCGTCAAATCTTGGGTGAGAACCTCCTTCTCTCAGCCAGGGTATTGAAAATAGGTCGTGGATGGGTATTCCAGTATGACAATGACCCAAAACACACGGCCAAGGCAACAAAGGAGTGGCTCAAGAAGAAGCACATTAAGGGCCTGGAGTAGCCTAGCCAGTCTCCAGACCTTAATCCCATAGAAAATCTGTGGAGGGAGCTAAAGGTTCGGGTTGCCAAACGTCAGCCTCGAAACCTTAATGACATGGAGAAGATCTGCAAAGAGGAGTGGGACAAAATCCCTCCTGAGATGTGTGCAAACCTGGTGGCCAACTATAAGAAACCTCTGACCTCTGTGATTGCCAACAAGGGTTTTGCCACCAAGTACTAAGTCGTGTTTTTCAGGGGGGTCAAATACTTATTTCCCTCATTAAAATACAAATCAATTTATAACATTTTTGACATGCGTTTTTCTGGATTTTTTGTTGTTGTTATTCTGTCTCTTACTGTTCAAATAAACCTATCATTAAAATTATAGACTGATCATTTCTTTTTTTTCTTCTTTGGTTCTTTCGGTAAAGTCACATAGAATGAGAATAAAATAATAAATTGATAAAATAAAATAACACAATAATATTCTCACGACGTTTTGGCCACAACACAAGCGGCCTTCATCAGGTGAAGGGACGAGACTGTCTGGTAGGACAGCGCTGGAGTGGTCCTACCAGACAGTCTCGTCCCTTCACCTGATGAAGGCCGCTTGTGTTGTGGCCGAAACGTCGTGAGAATATTATTGTGTTATTTTATTTTATCAATTTATTATTTTATTCTCATTCTACGTGACTTTACCGAAATAACCAAAGAAGATGAATCATTGCAGTCACGAAAGCTTTAAATCGAAATTTGATCATTTCTTTGTCAGTGGGCAAACGTACAAAATCAGCAGGGGATCAAATACTTCTTTCCCTCACTGTATGACACACTTCCAGGTTCAGATTGCATCATTCATTGTTTTGCTCAAAATGCAAGTACTGTCTTAGATTTATTCATAGATCCAGTCAAAGATATATTTTAGTCATTTCTGGTTTAAATTGAGATCCCTTCCCTTTATAACTCACGTATCCATACTCTCACGTATCCTCCGCCATTTCCAGGTCAAGGGTCGAATATACTGACCCAGTAGCATTTCTTGAAAACGAGAGCCAATCAACAATTTAAAGCATCATTTTCATTCTCAGTGACCCAGAATTAGTCAAGTTGGACTACATTTATTTCGGAAGCATTTTGGCTGTAGACTAGTGTTTTTTGTGGCCAGGTCACTTCTTAAAAGAGTTATATCGCTCAGCGGGCCTTACTTGGCAAGAGAAAAAATATTTCATAGTTTATTTTAGTTTATATGAACATATCCCCCAACACGGCATCCCCCCTCATGAGAGACCATAGTATATTCTAACAAAGCACGAATGTCCCCAACTCCTTCCGACGTAGCATGTGACCACCGCATCCCCATCAAACATATATTAACTATTGCTCTGACTTGCCAATATACAACTATGCACAGTTTTTATTTTCCAATTACCATCACTTTCATTGTTCCACTTCAGACTTTGAATCCTCCATTTTTTCACTGCTAATTTCTTCTTAAGATCACTGGACACTCCTTCAGCATTTACCACAAGACTTAGGGACATCATGTCTTCCTGCAGCAGGTGACATCTGCTCAACTTGAGCTGTAGATTTGCATCCCAAATGGTTGCAGATGCTCCCACAACACTAAACGTATGTCAACATTGGGCTGGTAGTGTAGCGGTGAGGGTGGTGCGCTGCGAACCTAGGAATCTGAGTTCAATTCCCACTCGCAGCCAACACCAGTGACGATTATAATCGACCTAGCGGAGGCCCAGGACTGGTTCAGATAATGAATACCTGGTGCGGTGTGTAAACATCACCACCTGGGAGACAAAGGGGGTGGGCGTGGTGCTGGCCACCCACCCTTTCGTGTGCCGTGCCGGCCTTCATATGTGCTCGCTAACAGCACTTTCCCCAACAGTCTGTTAATCCTATACGGGGGATTTTTGTCTTTGTATACGATGCACAAGGCAGGTTTAAACTACAGCCTGGCCACCACACAACCAATAGAAATGATGTGAAGGAAATAATTGAAGAACTTAATGTTGAAAAGTCTGCAAAGTTACATTGAGCAAAACAAAATTAATCTATAAGATGACTTTTAAACAAGTGAAAACATCTGTTGAAGGGATACAATTGGGAAACACGCCAGAGTATATATACCTAGGGCAGTTATTGAAGACAGACCAGGAAAAAAATGATTTAGAAAATAAAGAGGCAAAGCCATAGGCGGAGTTTGACTTCTATATTTGGGGGGGGGGGAGAGGTGCGTTGCGTCCCTCACATTAGGAATCTCGGGTGCATATAATTAATATTTTTTGTAAACTACTGAAAATAAATTAATAAAAGTATCCAGTTTGGGCGCGGTGTTGCCCTCCTCCCTGTGCCCCCCTCCCTGTGCCCCCCTCTGTAAACTCCGCCCATGGGCAAAGGAGAGTGAGCTGGAGTGCTTTTGGGGAAATTACCTTAATATGATGAATAGGGACTCTCCACTCGCATGAAAAACTGGACAAACTAAATTAACCTTTGCCTCAATATCCCCTTTCCTCTTGAGATTAAGGTGTTCTTTATAATCTCGGTTTGATAATCCTACAATAAATGGCAGTGATACAATTATTTGCTGGTGTTAAGAGTGGTGGCTGTATAGTTTATTGCAGTTTAACTTGATACGCTGATTTAAATTAAACATTTTTTATAAGGTATTTGCGATCGCGGTAGGGCAATGCTGTTGAGTTGGGAAATGTACACAACTACCACAATACATCATTGATAGGTTACTGTGATGGTTGCACCACAGTAACCCTCATAAATTCTCACCAATCACCACTCAATGGTACACAATCATCAGCTGCAGAGACTTTGGGACAAAGGGAGCTCCAGAGTGAAACAAATGTGGATTAGTTTCTTTCAAATGCATTATAAAGTGACGAACATGTTTGTACAGTACAAACAAATGAGTTCTGTATATATGAATTACAATATCTGTGCAAGCTGCAAACTGTGCATTTATTTAACTTAAACATCATTAAATCAAATTTTGATTTAAAGCTTTCGTGACTGCAGTAATTCATATTCTTAGTTTTTTCGGTAAAGTCACGTTGAAGAGAAACAACAAAATAATAAAATATATATAAAACAATAAAAAAATTCTCACGACGTTTCGACCATAACTCAAACGGTCATCTTCACACCTGAAGATTGTTTATATATATTTTATTATTTTGTTGTTTCTCTTCAACGTGACTTTACCGAAAAAACTAAGAATATCATTAAATCAATTGATACAGATTTGAGAATACAGTACAACAAAATATGAATGTATGTTCAACTTATTTCGCACCATACGCAGCCAACCATGCTAAATGGAGGTGCGGAGGAGAGGGACAACAAAATAAACATCAAAAAGCAGTTCTAAAGAAATTAGTTTTCTGAAAAAGACAAACTCAAATAATAGCTGCTTATGCAATGGACGATACAATTTCCAGCTAGATTTCTACAATCACACTTCTCACGAGTCTTTAAATTTGTATTAATAGGTAATATGAAATTGCTACCAAACGTGCCACAATTGATATGAGTTTGTTCCTTGCCATGGTTAACTTGAACGGTGATACCTGAAATAGTTTTTCGTGATACCTGAACATATCCAGCTCGCGCGAATGAAATGAGGTTACCAGTTTTTTCCCAGACTCTAATTACGCAATTCTGACACATGTCTATGTTCAAAGATCATTGCATTTTTTTACTCGATATCTCAGTAAGAAAATCGAAAATCTTCTCAAATAAACATCCCAAAATTAAACAAAAATTGTAAATGTCTTGCCTCCGCATTTCCCTGCAAATCTGCACCTGCAGGTCTGCACCTGCAGCTCTGCGTTAGCCCTGTCCACTTCTGCGAATTGTGGTTCATGTTCCGCAAAACGTTAATTTAATAATTAGATTTCTGCTGTATTTTATTTTGATAGGATCCAAATCCTAAATTTAATTTTGTAAATCTATAAATGCAAGCTGCCCATAATACATAGAATGTATTGCTTTTCATACCCAGGGTCCCGTTTCAATTACCAACAAGAAGATTAAAAGTTAACTGATAACACGTTTTGCAAAACAGTGATCACTGATAAAAACATCACCCTTGTACATACAGCACCCTTGTACACATTGCACAATACTGCAGTTGGACAACTGACATCAGATACATGCATATTGGCTCCAATAACAAGCGAATGTTTTCTCCCTTTGTCACTGAATCTCTCTATTTTGTATTCGCACATTTTTTTTCCAGATTAGTTTTTTCTCTATTCTCCGTGAAAATGCTTATCGAATATTGTTTCATTATACCACACTGTACTCATGCGCTAAATGTACACGGTCCGAATGTACCTTCCATGAACATGTGTCGAGTCCACACGAAGAGACGTCCCCTCTCTTTGTCCGGTCAGACTGCCAGAAACGTGTGTTGGATCTGCTCCCAGCAAGCAACATATGCCTAGTCAGCCAGTCCTTAACGTGGACCAAGTGTGCCAGTCACAATCACGTGCCAAATATCTTCTTTGAACGGCGCTGTTTATAAATCCTCATTGTGTGATGTGAAAACCCGATGAATCCCCCCACCCTCGTATTATGGACACAGCTACTAAGCTCTATATTCACACTTTTTTTGTTTAACACATAGGCTTATATTTTTTTCAATCAAAATGTGCAATTCAGCATATTGCATTTTGACATTGTCCGTTGCGTTCCCATTTAAACATGCTTTTGTTTAATCACACCAATACATTTACTATACATGTGTAGTGATGCAGCGTCGACTGCTGTCTAGCAGCGGCAACTGCGGTGGACAGTTAGCAGCGCACATGCCGTCGAGCTATACACGCGTATACTGGCAGGGCGGAGGAACTGGGGCAATGGTCACGGAAGACCTCATCGGAAGGCCCCTGGAACCCTATGGTGGGTTCGAGAAGGGAGGTGCGGCTAGGGCCGCGCCAAATGGAATAAAAGCAGCGGAGAGCGAGAGCTCCGGGCTGCCGGTTCTGGGAGTGGACTCGTTTTGTCGTCGCTGTCATCGTCGCCGCCGCGTTCGCCCGATCATTGCGCGGCCGGATAGTAGATGGCTGTCTCGGTCGACGCCGTCGGTGCAACGCGGGCAAGGTTGTGTCTAGGCTGGGCTGTACGGCAGCATGGTTGAGAGAGAGGAGGCCGGAGTTGGTGTGAACTGATAAATAAAGAGAGAGAGACGGTGCCTCATGTAACTACCTCATCTCCGACTGAGTGTGTGCACCGCACACCACACGCACACACACTCCAGGAGGAAGGAGGACACTACACATGTAACATATAAATTGTGTGTACATCTTATAAAAGTTATACGATTTTTTTAAGTTTCATTACGTACAGGGATGTAGTCAGGTGGTGCAATGGTCAGAATATATATCTCACAATCCTTAGGTTGCTAGTACAAATCCCGATCATGGATGGACAGTCTTTCATCCCTCTGAGGCCAATTAAAGAAAAATAAGTGGTTTTATCATGGGAAAAATTTGTTGAGAATATTTAAATTACGCCATCTTTTTGCTATGCTGCCACAGACTTTAATACATAGTAACCTTTCAGTTGGATGGCTTGTGCACATGATGAAATCTGCGTGATCCACCACCCCCACCTCCAAAGTGCTGCATAGTTGACGTGCACCACGATATCATGTCAGTATAGAGACGTGAAAAGGATGAGGAGCATCGAGTTTGAAGGATGAATAAAAAGCTTTAGAGCAATGATAATTCCTAACCTCTGGTCCGCAAGTCTGTGAGAAGTGATCCGCAGAAGTGTTGCAGACGCGATTTATTTTCTCACAAACACCATCGTTTTTATTGAATTGTGGTCTGTGAAATGTTTTTGGAAGGTTTTGGAAGGCTGCAAGTGGCCGTGGGTTGCAGAGAGGTTGCGAACCAATGCTCTTAGAGAAGATGGCAGAATCGCGTATCAGCCAAGCTAGCAACATCAAAGAATGGACCAAGGAGGGGTGGAAACTCATGAGGGAAGACGCATTGAGCAAAAGATAACTTGGAGGCAGCGCCCCAATGGACGCGAAGACCAGGGAACTGAAGAAACCCCACTATAACATAATTGTGAACAATGCCTTAACAAAGCACTGGATACAAAACTCTAACGTTTCACACGATACTTTTTGTGCATGCGTAATACTGTATTGTCTTGTATTTTCTTAAGACTTTTTAGCGAGAAAAAAATAACATTTTAAATACAGTTAAATTATATATTTTAAACTTAAGCGCGAGTTAAATGGTGGCAATGAAATGTACGGAGATCAGAGGAATCTTAAGATTATCTTCAACAAGGCTTGGACTATTGGACCTTCTTGGAGATAGTTAGAGGGCAAGGACATTTACAACTAAACTCAATGACACGTTTTACGACTTCTCTTGCTGATGTCAGTTGTGAGACTAATAGCCCTAATAAACTGCAGATATGGTACACTGCCATATTCACAACTTAACAATATAGTGCTAAGAATTTTAATATTCATTGTGGCATTCAGCAGCAATTCTATTGTTTAAAAATAATACATGTTAAAGTGATGAACAGCAAGATGCAGCGATGTACTGTGGAGTTTATATAGGATTTGTTTGTGCAATATATGTGAGCAAGTTCAACCAATATTTAACTCAGTTTAACACGGAGGAGGTACAAGAACAATAATGGGCTTGCATAATGTGCATGCATAATGTACGTTCCTTACCATATAAATAACCCAACCGTCAATGGATACCCATTGTAATTTAAATGAATGTATTTATCCCTCCCCCACTTCGCGCAAGAAGGGCACACAAGTGATGCCATCACATCTACCCCTATATTTAAAGAACGAAATATGAGAATTTTCCACAAATCTGGCTGTCGCCTGATGAAGCTAGTTGTAATTACTGGCGATACGTCGTATTGTGAATGTTGTAGATTTGCTGTCCAAACACACTGGTGTGCTGTACGAGTAACGAATTGGCATGTTCTGTTTATGTGACAAACCTTACTAATTGGCTATGTTGCGTAGTGAAGGATTTAACGACACATTAAAATATTTACGCGATCTCACCGAAAAAACCTGTATCACTATCACGTTATATGTTCACGTGATAACTTACGACTTCGTTTATGCCATGTTTCTGCAATTTGCCATGTGTTCAGACATGACCTGTTTAATTTTGCACAAAAAATCACGGGTCAAACTGGTAAATGACAACACCGTAACAACGAGTGTCACTTCAATTTGTACATGTCCAGTGTGCATGTGAACAGTGCACTGACGAAGAGGGAGCAAGACACTAACCCTCAATGTAGTGTTGCTGTTAAGTGTTCTTTCATGATTTGTGCAATACATGATCAGTCAACACAACTTAACTGGCAATTCCATTAATTAGCTACCACGCATCAACCCATCGTTCATTCAAAACGAATAGCAATGTTACACGTGCAAATGGCGACTTTCAGGGTACAGCAACATCGAGTTGTAGGCCCAGTCATATGTATCTTCCACCTCAACGTTGGAGTATCCACTGCGCAAAAAGTGTGACGACCTAACCAGGGCACTCATAGACAACAACATCGATGTCACCAGACTACAAGAGAATAGCATAGAAAACAACGAGAGAGCCAGAATATACAAGATTGGCGGCTTCATTCTCGTCGCCTCTGTTAACGACCCGAAAAATGGCTTAGCCACATACATCAGACATAGCCTAGAGGCGATGATCCTGGATGAATCGAAGACAGTGTGGATTTCAACGGCAACAGTAATGATTGGGCGCATCATTGTCACACGTGTAGAGATTGTCCTACCCTGCCTTATCTGAAGTCCCCCTCCCAGCCACTTATATTGCTGATTTCAAGAACCACCACACCAACTGGGGATATGATAAGAACGATTCTGCAGACGGGCAGGTCATGAACTGGGTCTCACCTCCAACACGACTCAAAACAACCAAATACCTTCCAATTGGCGAGATGAACCAAGGCTCGCCTCCTGAAATATCATGATTCAGGAAGACTTACACCTCGTGTTGGCTTCCATAATAGGAAAGACTCCTGAAGAAGTATGAAGAGACTGGCAACCTGGACATAGGCGCCACATAATCTTCTTCTTTTGTATGACATGTAAGCAACAGTGTGTATAGATGTCATAGTTGAATGTTAAGTTTCAACCAATCCAAGGCGCTAGTCGATGCTCTATGGATTGCAGCGATAGTATGCTCTTGGAAGTGTTTGGCTTGAGGTACCAATTCGTGAAGTATAATAGGGTCATTATATTCTGCCTGATTGGAAAGGTGGCACAAGAATATAGAGCCTTTAGAATTTACACACTTCAGCCGGAAGCCCAGGCATTACTGCATAATCTGAGGGCCATCGGACCCACAAAATAGCCGCACAGTATAGGTGTCTGCAAACTCTGTTGCTTCACACCTCCTGGTTACATAAAAAAAAATCCTGTCAAACAGATGCACAAGATTGGAGGTCCAGAAGGAATATCTCGTAAAATTACAGCAGAGCCCAGCGTCATCCCTCCATATATGCCCCATTTATGCTGAAGAGAATTAACGTGGCATATCGGCCACCACGAACCAGAAAGCTGCCAGCCCAGGTGGAAATTACCAGGGTTCCTCAGAAATATAGGATTAAAAGCAACATCGTCGCTGACAGATCTGGTCATGGTTATCCACCATATAACACGGATCAAAACATCTATGTGTGTAACTTTTCATACAAAACATCTACTGCTGGGTCAAGGCTTCTCCACATCATGTTGGTCATGGGGACTGTTTGACCATACTTCATACTGGTCAGTGAGGGTTGGTGAAATAGGCTCCATGACTGGCCGATTCTGATATCACTCACCACTGATGTTAGCCATGGTCGGGAATCAAACTCGGATATCTCGCTTCACAGTGGAGTGCACTAAACACATGCGCCACCCCTCCACCTGTGCACACGGTCAACTGATGCATGTGTAGTGTCTTCAAAAATTACTCACACCGACATGTTGTAACAAGTCACCTGCTAACCCTTCATTTCACCTGTTCTTACGCCAGTTATAGGCACTCCTATAACTATCTGTACGGTCTCATATACTTGACTTCTCCCCGCTTTTATCTATTCTGCACCTCACTTATCCTGCACTTAGCAACTCTGCTCTCAGCGACTTCGCACTCAGCGACTTTGCACACAGCAGCTTCGCACTCAGCAACTCTGCATCTCCACCGCTGCCCTCACCTACACTCCCTCATACCCGCTCAACCATCTGTGCCGGGCGGGGGGTTCAGCCTGGCGACGACGTGAGGGTTGAAGTCCAGTTGACGACTGGAGCGGCAGCGGCAAGATGTCTTCACTCTTGGTTCCCGGGCAACAACAACCTCCGCTTACGCACACTCCCCTTATATATCCCCCCTCATTCCGAGTCCTCACGTGCTCCCCCTCAAGCTGCCGCCAGGCCGGCACCAGTTGTCCCATTAATCCCTTATGATCACCCCCCATCTCCCGTCTCTTCGACGCCAGCCTCCGGTCACAGCGTACCCACCTGTTCGACCTCGGTTGCACCCACTTCTCCCCTTAATTACTGGCGGTTTGTCGGTGCAAACCTCATGTTGCAAAGCACGCATCTGTTCGATATCAGTTGCACCCGCTTAACAGCGTGCACTGCGTATATCTCTCCTCTACACATGCATACAGTATACACCTAAGCTTGTTTTTAAATATAACACTCCTATGTATGTAAACATACATTTTGACAATCGTATTGAGTATTGTGGTGCTCAACATGATTCTGGTTTGAAAGAGATCACTAATTTTACGGACAAAACATTTTCATCATGAAGGACCTACATGGATTATTCATCATGAAGATTAGATATTACCCAGGGTGTTTGATCAGAATTTAGTGAGGAGTTGGAGAACCTATCAGTCCTTATGGAGGCTTTCAGACTCCTTCACGAGTTTCACTGAACATTACATTTATACAGCGGCCTCGTGCCAGATAGTCACGCTTGACAGAACTGGTGAATATTTAATCTGTCAATAAAGACCGACAAACTCCTGAAAAATGTCTGTGATATTACAGGTAGTAGAGCATAGGGTGTATTTATGTTGGTTCATTGTTTGTAAGCATGCCAAAAGTATCGTCAATAAGATAATTTCACAGGAAACACGCCAACTTTGTGCTAACGTTGGCATGTGGTTGAAACCGTTGGATCAACGTTGGCCGAATGTTCCATGTTTGACTGGTTGCAGCTCTATGCCATTCCACAGCTGGATAAAGGCCTCCCTATGTCTTGTTGGTCATTGGGGATGTTTGACCATACTTCACTGAACCGGTGAAGAAACCTCTCCCTCTTCACCGGTTCAGATAACCGAAAGTCACTGGTGTTCATAGTTACTGTCCTGTGATTTAAAACAAACAAAAATACCCAACACATTTTCGGCAATGCCGCTTTTTCATTGCACATTTAGATTGTGCATTTTTTCTGCTTTGACAAATGGGGCATTGCTCAAAACGTTCTCATATATTTTTCTTTTAGAGGCAGTGTTGTTGACGAATTTTCTACTATAATGAGCCAATAATGTATGTCCCGCACGTGACGTCACTCCACTTTGGCCAGCCCTCCTCATTAATAAGCATGAACAGGTGACGTCCTCCAAATGGACCCCCCCCATTCATAATAATTAGCGGCTGACGTCACTCCACATGGGGGGGCGAGGCGCCTCCTCCCCCCTCCTCAGCGTCAACTGACAACCCTCACTACGAAGGCAGAACCCTTACGTCACGTGATCTCCGTGACGCTGTTGAGACATCAAAGTAAAAAGGACGTCATGATTAGCAAGGGATTTTAACCTTTAAATGAAATAAGTCTGTGTCACCGCGCCCTTACAAATTACACACGAATTGATGCAATGAATATCACGTCGCGGTCTGCTTGTCGCTTGCAAGTTTCAGATTTACTGAAATACACCCGTCCTTGGACGGGCAAAAGGCTAGTGTGTTTATATTTGTGTTGCTACGTGTGATTGTAGCAACAATAAATTGTGCTGTGATTGGTCTCTCTTAAAAAAAGGACAGGGGAAATTACCTACAAATGAATTTTTTTTTAAATATCGGAATAAATCATTTCACCACAGAGTATAAATATTTCAACTTCTCGGATACATGATAATTTCTCCATATCTGTTACGTTCTGTAAACACATTTGCCATTCATGATGCAATGCCAATGTATCAATGCAATGGCGGCTGCAGTATTTTAATTTGTAATGCCCTTTTGATAATAAATATCGTAATGGTTGATATTTGGTTTATCTACATTTATTCATTACACTGTAAGTTGCAGAATTGTTAAACCTGTTGACATTTTAGCATTTAGATAACCTTATAAGTACAGTACTACTATTGGCCTCACGTCACAGCACAGGAGTTTCAAATCGCGTTTTTTTCCCCACAGGCTTTCTTTTGTCCGCTGCGGCTCGCCGTCTGCGGTCTTCGGGCACTGCCCCCCTCGTTGGAAGATGGCGGCGCCCACGGTGCAGCTGAGCCACGTGGCCGCGAGCGCGACCCGGGCCCCGCACACGGTGTGCTGGGGCCGAAACGGCCTCGTGAGCTTCGGCTCGGCGAATTCTGTGGTGCTCTACGTGCCCCAGGTTCGCGCAATTCCTTCGTTCTTTCGCTGATTGCATTTAAATAAGGTTTACGCTGTTGCGTTTGCGACATTGCGCCTCATTTTGCCAGTCTCCGCTGGGCGAGTTTGTGTCTCTCATTCTTCCTGATGATTGATTTTGTCGGGGGCTTTGTGTTGGAGTTGTGGTTATTTATTCTCACCAAGCACAGCCATCGGTTTGCTGCAACAGTTGCACGTTTATAAAGGGCCGAACAGCGTCATTGCAAGATCACATTTCATAACCACCAGTACGAAATACATGGTGTAAAAAAACATTCTGAATACTAAATTTTGATTTAAAGCTTTCGTGACTGCAGTAATTCATATTCTTAGTTTTTTCGGTAAAGTCACGTTGAAGAGAAACAACAAAATAACAAAATATATATAAACCAATAAAAAATTCTCACGACGTTTCGACCATAACTCAAACGGTCATCATCAGGTGTGTCGGTTTGCATAAACCATAACTCAAACGGTCATAAATTTATGCAAACCGACACACCTGATGATGACCGTTTGAGTTATGGTCGAAACGTCGTGAGAATTTTTTATTGTTTTATATATATTTTGTTATTTTGTTGTTTCTCTTCAACGTGACTTTACCGAAAAAACTAAGAATATATTCTGAATACTAATCGTGGTTCGTGTACAACTTTTGCCTCGCAAAAGCTTAAATTAATAGAGATGACTGTATTCTTGTTTTGTTGCGTGGTTAAACACCTCTATTGAAGTCTGGAATTTCAGGAGGATCTGGCATTGGGATGTTTGCCTAATGTTTGACATGTGCGCGGAGAAAACTCATACCAAGAGGATAACACTTTTAACATGCATTGAGTTGACCTAATATTGTAACCAGTCGGGTATTTAATGTGTCACTAAAGTAGCTCTTCAATGGACTCGGAACGTTTGTCGAGTTGGCTGCACCTGTCAAGCTGTCAACATCCAGAGGCACTGATTGGGTTGACTCGGTTAGGTCCTCCGCCAGAAGTTATCCGCTCAGAAACAACCCCAACAAACGGCACGCATCACTGTAATCCAACTACTGTACAGATTTCAACTACCAATTAACAGTAAAATCCTGACAATACTTTAAGGCAGTCTGCCATCCAAGAACAGTATTAACCAGGCTTCAACATTGCGTATGCTCCGTTGTAGATGTGTACATGGTTTTGCAAGGGTGTGAGTGAAACATCTTGGTGGACATGCCTTCCAGACCAATGCACCATTACATATACAAAGCAGACTTTTTTTCATGCACTATATCTATATTGTCAAATCTATCAAACGTCATCGCAACCCTTCTGACGAAAGTATTCCTCAAATAACTTATGAAACTAAAGTTAATTTCTAGACAAAAAAATACCGATATGTCTCAATCCTCAGAAGTCATTAAATGTAAAATATGTTTAAAGAATGTAACATTTGACACACTCAACACTGAAATGTGAACACGAGTGAAAAGCAATCAACACTGAAAAGGAGTCCTCGATAAACGCATTTCAGGGGTCGGCATCCTGCGGCTGCGGAGCGGCATGCGGCTCGTTCAGGAACTGCTTCTTGACGTCATGTATTTCGGACCACCGTCTCGTATTCACATGCAATTGCGGCTCTTGAAATACACAATTACATTTTCGTTACCGATTTAGGAAAAAAATGGCTCTTCGTGTTATTTTAGTTGCCGACCCCTGGGATAGTGCTCGAGGCTGGCTGGCTAGTTTGTTCGGGTTGGGGTTAGAGATAAGTGTTTAGTTGGGTAGTGTGAGTCTTAAGAGGTGGGGTTAGTATCTCATTGGCTAATGTGATCAATCATATTTTCGTATTTTTCCTATGTTTACAGAGTCGACATTGGTGGTGATAAGTGGCCTGGTTTATTCGTGGTTGCATTGTCACGACACATCAAGGGTGGAAAAAAACAGATTTTTCTTTGCAAATTTTATCGGGTTATTGGTTATATATATAAAAAAGATGGTTTTAATCCGGCAAGTCAAGTTGTTAATTGGCGCCAGAGTCATCGGATTCGCTGTCCTTTTTGATCATCTCAACTACACCGTCGAAGAAGGCGGGAATGTTGCTCTTGATGAAGACGAGCTTCTCTACCGACTTAACGCTCAGGCTGTTCCTCAACTTGGAGTGAATGAAGGCCATGGTGGAGAAGTTCCTCTCAGATGCGGCACTGAACGTGGCAATGCTGAACAGCTTGACGGCGATCTTTTGCAGCTCAGGCCACTCACTGCCATCGGACAGCCAAATACTCCATCGGCATCTTGTGACCCTTGACCATCTTGTAGCATAACGTGTTGTTTGTATTCTCTTTGGTGGGGCTATAATTATACGGATTGACAAGCAATAAATCCGGATTTTGGCCATCTGAGATCGTTTTTTTATTAAAACCATGAAAAACCCTATGTTAAAAAACCTGATGTTGCCAGCCTTGCGACACATTCAGGCAAGGCTGAATAGATTTAGCAAAATGGTTCTTATAATTGCGATGCATAAGTGATCATCATTAGCCGGGAAGATGTGCCTTTACATTAGATAACACTGTACATCTTTCTACAATGCATTCATATAGGACTTGTATATCAGGTCATTTGAACTGAGTGCTTTTTTGATCATTGCACTCTGCTTTGGACTAGATGACAATTTGTGACTTGTGGCTTGGCACTGTTCCTCCATTTGTTCAACACGGCACTGAACAACTGCTGTAAATGTTAATGTAATTGTTCGTGTCCCAGTAAATAATTGGCAATTCTGATTTTTTTTATGTTCAAAGCTACTGGTCGTCTTAAAACCGCTTCAGCTTAATGTCATTATAATCGTTACCGTATGTATTGAAATGACTGATGCGGGGAAAATTGCTTAAATGTTCCGAATGTTATGGACCACTACGACAGAGTGCAGACTGTAGTCGCAATGTAATATACACATAAATTGTAATATACACATTCATTGGTTGAAAATATCGAAATAAAAGGACTGCAGAGCTTGGGTATTTGTTGGTGCCAGCTCACTACCTGGCTCCCTTCCAGCTTGAGATGCATTTTGCATGTATGGTACTGTTTACAAAAAAAACATTACTAATTTTGTGTGTTTTTCAGAAGGAAAATTCTGCTGGGTTTGTTTACAACACTCTAAATGAGCACACTCAACGAGTAAACTGTGTACATTGGATTCAAAAGAATGACCTGAGTAAGTTTTACTGCTTCACACCAAGTTATTTGACATTTTACCGAAGCTTATTGCTCAGTTAATGGTTTACCGGACATAAAACGGCTTTATTTCCTATTGCTCAGTGGTTTATTACAAAACTGTGTTGCGTTTTGTAATCCTGTTTAAGGTCCTGAAACAGAGCTCCTTTCGGGAGGGTCTGATAATATCGCTATCCTTTGGGTGAAGCAGAACTCTCAGGTTGGTACAATAATTTTGCTCGCTGCTTACTGTTCACCTCACCCTACTGTTGTGTACATATCCAGAATACCAAACGTGTTTTTGTGAAATTTTAAAATGAAAATCGGGTTCAAAGTTTAAACCCACTACAACATATATAAAAAAAAGTATTGTTATATTGTCCTAAATTGCCACTACATATAAAAAATGTAAACATTAGTAACAGGCAAAAAAAATAATGAAAAAGAATTCAGCCCTTAATCCACCGCTGGATGAAGGCCTCCCCGTGCCGTGTCAGTCATGGGGTTTGTTTCAACTAGACTTCACGCTGATCAGAGTAATGTTTGATATTTAGGAATCGAGCTCAGATCACCGTGTAAGCGCAGTGTGCGAGCCAATATGTTTATAATGTTGGGAAAATTAGACATTATATCTCTGCCATAACAGCGGTATTTAATACCAAACACCAATATAATATCAATAGCATGACTTAAGATATTACTTTTACTGGTTTTGTCTGTGATCCAAATAGAGCTGGGTTTATTCTTATTTTGTTTTTTTCCCCCCCCCCCCCCCCCCACCACAATGTCACAAATTGACAGTTTGTATGCTCTGAAAAGTTACAAGGACACAAAGGGGCAGTGACAGCAGTGGACGGCCGTTCCCTGGCCTCCAGGCGAGATGAGCCTGACGTTGTAATGCTTGTCACATCTGCTGCTGATTCCACCGTGCGGATTTGGCTTAGGCACGTTACAGAAGATGATGATGTTGCTGCATCCAAGGGTACATGTTGGCTCACAACTGTATTAGTTTGATTTTTACAAATTTAATTAATATTTACTATTGAAGTCAAAGCATAATTGGATCATAATTTTAATAACAGTAATTTACACCAGTGGGTCGCGCAAAACCATAGACATAATAGCTCTCATTAAATGGCAAGAAGTCTTTGAGCGGAGAGCATGTATTAAAAGTAGAATAAAATATTACTTATTTAGCAGTAAATATTCTCTAATACATCACAGTACCACTAATAGTACATGGCAGATTGATTTTTAGTCTTGTCTAATTTAAATGTTATATTATTATCCTTGAAGTTTTAAAATAGTTATGTTTAATGAATGATAACACATGCTTTTTCATGCAATCCAGAAACATTCAACTAAATCTAATTAGCAGCCTATTTGTTCCAACAATTGTGATCAAGTGGTCAGAGGTATGTGACACATGCATTTGTGTTTGTAGTTGAATGCGTTCAAGAACTTTCATTTGGAACGGGATTCGCAATGGATATCTCTCTTGCCGAGTTACCAGGATCGAAAGGTGCGCTATTTAATACAAGTACAGTTCTGTATATTCTATATTTTAACAATACTGGGAAAAAAACATTAAAAGCATGGTATTATTCTACAACACTGGACTGATGTTGTTAAGCTGATATATTTATTCAGTCATTTACTTGTTTTGTCAACCAGAACCCATACTCGCCTGTGGAGGAGATGGTTGTAAATCGCAGCTGTATACTCAGCAAAATGGGCAGGTGAGTAACTTTGTGTGGGCATCTGATATACATTTCTGAGCCAGGATAAAACACATTTGAAAAGTGAAAATTCCGTACCTAAACACTACGTTTTTTTTGTCAGTTTTTAAAGATAAGTAGAAATTATGGAAAGTTGAGACTTTCTATTGTCATATGTGGGATTGTTTTTTAAGTCATGACTGGAGATTTACTAGATTGGGGTTCTTATAAAAAGTACAGAAAATCGTTGGAGCTTGCTATCCTCCTCCCTTCTCCTTGTTTGAAATCTGTAAATACAGGGAGTGGTTTCACTCGGCTGAATTCTCCATTTTACGCTCTGCTGCTGCCAAAATGATTTTACACCCCCCAGGGGTAATTGGCAGCTATGGCGAGCATCATTCACTGCTTTTCCATGAAGAATTTCAGACTCATTTCTTGTTATTTGAAAGTGCTACTACTGCAGCAACAAAATGACTAAATGTGCAAAAAATTGTGCTCTAAAAGTAACTAGACCACAATAGGTAGCTTTAGAAATAAATGGTATACCTTTAATTTTACACACCATTACCAGATGTGAACCAGTTATTCAGTACTGGGAAATAATTGAGTGATGTAAAATACAATTTATTTCCAAATCGAAATATGTACCGGCCTTTTCATTATATGAATAAAATATAATCAAGCGTACTCACTTGAATTGTCAATGCAAAAATGCATTAAAATGACCCAAGGGCGCCTTATCTTTCGCCTGTGCTGCCTGGTTATTTGCAGGGCTTACTCTTGCCCGGGACCACAAACCAATAGCTTTAAGGCAGCCATTGTTACATTCGAGTGAGTGGGTGCGACAAGGAGTGGGTGTTGGGTGAAAATTGGAGCAATAGTAGAGAGTGGGTGACAAGCAGAGGTAGGGCCCACCTTTCTGTCAGACAGGGTTAATTACATTTGTGTCCATCAATACAAGGGCCTTTATCGCTTTTTGCAGACGGAATGTGCCCTGCTCACAAATAGCTTTCACCTTGCAGTATATGCATGTACATTCTTCTCCCCAACCCCTGCCTAGGGTTTATTTAATTATGAAAGATGGACAATTAGGCTGTAGAAAATTAGTTTGGGTCCCATGTTGTTGACCTGTGTTTATAGATTAGTTGAAGTTGTGGGTGACCGCTTTCACTGAACAGACCAGACTTTGTATTTATACCACACTATAGAAAACATTTGCATAATTTGAATACGTTGATAATTAAATGTTTTCGTGTGCATGTTGTTGTTTGCATGCAAATGGATTTATATATTTTACTGATGGTGCATAAAAGAAAATGGGGGGGGGGGTTATGAATGTTTTATTGGAAAGTCCTTGATGAATCTGGCATTGGTCATTACTCAGGCCAACATATCACCATTCATTCTAATATACTGCTAATATTTAGTGAGCTAACATTTGGGCTCTGGCTTAACAGAGGACATCACCCAAGGCATGAGCCTATTACAGTAGCCGTGCGTATTGTTCAGTTATAAGAAAGCGTTAATGGTGATACTGATGTTTTTGACCTTTGTTTTTGTACCACTGCCAACACAGTCTCTTAGGTGTTATTTGATGTTGAATAATACACTAGTTTGCCACCGTTATCCTTCTTAGTTGTTGGAATGTCTGAAGCACAATCAAATGTTTATAACATGTTATATATACTCTGGTTCTTTCGGTAAAGTCACGTAGGTAGGAAAAATAATAGATCACGACGTTTCGATCGCAACACATGCGACCGTCTTCAGGTTAGAGAGAGAAAGCTACTGAAACAAGGTCTTATGTAGGCTTGAGATGGGCGCAGCCTTAGGGTAAGAGGGCAGGGCTAGAGATGGCCTGCCTGAGGCTGTGGAAGTGGCTATTGTATTGTAGGAGATTAGCATATCAATGCACGAGCTTAGTATGCCACCGCATCGGTGACTTGCCTAGTATGAGAGTGCAATCCAAAGGACATGTGAGCATGAGAGTGCAATCCAAAGGACATGTGAGCATGAGAGTGCAATCCAAAGGACATGTGAGCATGAGAGTGCAATCCAAAGGACATGTGAGCATGAGAGTGCAATCCAAAGGGCAGGTGAGCATGAGAGTGCAATCCAAAGGACATGTGAGCATGAGAGTGCAATCCAAAGGACATGTGAGCATGAGAGTGCAATCCAAAGGACATGTGAGCATGAGAGTGCAATCCAAAGGACATGTGAGCATGAGAGTGTAATCCAAAGTGCATGTGAGCATGAGAGTGCTATCCAAAGGACATGTGAGTATGAGAGTGCAATCCAAAGGGCATGAGAGTGCAATCCAAAGGACATGTGAGCATGAGAGTGCTATCCAAAGGACATGTGAGCATGAGAGTGCAATCCACAGGGCATGTGAGCATGAGAGTGCAATCCAAGAGGCAAAGAGAGGGAGAGACAGAGAGTCGGAAATAACAGCTGACATAGGCAGGTAGGATGGAAACGTCACAGTCTGTTAAGACTTTACCTGGTTAATAACGTCCTTCCAATGATTGCTCAGTTTGTACCCATCTCGGTTGAAGTCTGTTTATATATCTGGATGGCTTCATGAACAAATCTCTGAAGATAGCCGGTGGGTTTGCAGAGTATCTTAGTCTTGGAAAAATCTATTTCGTGTGAGCCCACAGCATTAAAACAATGATCAGCAACGGCAAAGGTATTGGTCCTACCGTGCCTTGTGTTCACGAACGCGGTCCGAGACATGTCGTTTCGTTTCCCCAATGTAACTGCTGCCGCAACCACAACTCAGTTTGTAGACACCAGGGTATTGCATGTCAGGAATCACATCCTTTACAGATGGGATCAAATCACGGATTTTGTGTACTGTGTTGAAACGAACCTGGATCTTGTGTTTTTTTAAGATTTTGGAAATATTTCTGGTAACCCCTGCTATGTATGGTAAAGTGATGGTTTTGGTTGGATCCTCAGAAGGTTGTCTCCCCATAGCTGGGGAGACAGCTTTGCGAATTGTACGGTCAGAATATCCGTTCATCCTGAGGGCTTGCTGTACGTGCTCCAACTCACTGGCTAGGTGGTGCTGGTCGGCGATGCAATGGGCTCTATGGTGTAGTGTTTTGATGAGGGAATTCTTCCGGGCTGGATGGTGGTGAAGTCAGGCTTTAGATAGGCATCCGTGTGGGTGGCTTTCCTGTAGAGAGTGTCCCAACGAGCAATCAGGTCTATTCTCGATCAAAACATCCAGGAATGGTAGCTTGCCATCCTTTTCCACTTCCATGGTGAATTTGATAGACGGGTGTATGGAATTGATGTGGTTGAGAAATTGGTTCTGTGCTGGTAGGCCATGTGGCCAGATGACGAATGTGTCATCTACGTATCTCTTCCAGGTAAGACCTTGTTTCAGTAGCATTCTCTCTCTCACCTGAAGACAGCCGCTTGTGTTGCGATCAAAACGTCGTGATCTATTATTTTTTCTACCTACATGACTTTACCGAATGAACCAAAGAGTAAACAAACACAAGGTTCGTTTCAACACAGTACACAAAATCCGTGATTTGATGCCATCTGTAAAGGATGTGATTCCTGACATGCAATACCCTGGTGTCTACAAACTGAGTTGTGGTTGTGGCAGCAGTTACATTGGGGAAACGAAACGACATGTCTCGGATCGCGTTCATGAACACAAGGCAGATCTGAAACATGGTAGGACCAATACCTCTGCCGTTGCTGATCATTGTTTTAACGCTGTGGGCTCACACGAAATAGATTTTTCCAAGACGAAGGTACTCTGCAAACCCACCGGCTATCATCACAGATTTGTTAATGAAGCCATCGAGATATATAAACACAGACACAACTTCAACCGAGAAGATGGGTACAAACTTAGCAATCATTGGAAGGACGTTATTAACCAGGTAAAGTATTAACTGACTGTGATGTTTCCATCCTACCTGCCTATGTCAGCTGTTATTTCCGACTCTTTGTGTCTCTCTCTCTGTGCCTCTTGGATTGCACCCTCATGCTCACATGTCCTTTGGGATTGCACTCTCATGCTCACATGTCCTTTGGATTGCACTCTCATGCTCACATGTCCTTTGGATTGCACTCTCATACTAGGCAAGTCACCGATGTGGTGGCATACTAAGCTCGTGCATTGATATGCTAATCTGTCACAATACAATAGCCACTTCCACAGCCTCAGGCAGACCATCTCTAGCCCCGCCCTCTTACCCTGAGGCTGCACCCATCTCAAGCCTACATAAGACCTCTCACCTGAAGACGGTCGCTTGTTGTTGCGATCGAAACATCGTGATCTGTTTTTTCTACCTACGTAACTTTACCGAAAGAACCAAAGAGTGGATTCCTGCTGTCACGAAAGCGTCAAATCAAGATACATTATATGGTTATAATCATTACATTTATTGTTAAACAAAATTTGATTGAGTCAATTGATTTTAAAGAAAAAAATGTTTACATGCCAAAAGGTTATGAAGAGATTGCTTATAAATCTTAGAATTTTTTTGTTAATAACTTTTTGAGGCCATGGGAGGGCAGCACAGTTCTACGATTTATACCATTTCAGGCATCTAATATGTATTGTCCTTGCACCACTGTTTCTCAGAAATTCTCAAATGGTTTACAAAAACACATTTGCAGATTATTAGATACAGTATAGCCAAATTAAAGTTTAAAAATGACCAAGATTTTACGGCAAGTCGACTTACAAACGGGTTTTGTTTCTGAGGCCGCTTATAAGTTGAACGGTTCGTAAGTCGGCACACAATGTACTGTATTTAAATGCAAAAACGGTGCTAGTTTTTAAGGAAAGATCATTAAACTCACAAATATGCAGAAATATTGTACATTTGCTTGTAACACTGTAAATATAATTCACATTGGCAAATCATGGTAAAAAATGTATATTTTATGGAAGCTTATTCATCAGTGCGGATGTTCGTAATGCACGTGTAACCTGTATAAACTAAATGATATATAAATAACTTTAAAAGGCAGTTATTTGACAGTGTCTT